AGAGAGAGAGAAAATTAGCATCAAATTCTAAAAAGATAATAAAAAAAAACGTAATTGAAGAGAGAAAAAAATTAGCATCAAAATCTAAAAAAGATAATTTTAAAAAGACGTAATTGAAGAGAGAAAAATATTTTTTACCATAGTAATTGTATTAAGTAAGAAAGAGAAAAAAAATCTTTAAGTAAAAGAAATGTATGCAATTATAATTATGATTGATAATCTAAATGGTAAAAATAATAAATAATGAGTTCCATAAAATAAGCCACTAAGCCACAAAAATAGGTATAAAAACGTGTGAAGATATATATATTTAATAAGTTGTCATATTTATAATTAAAATGTTATTGTTATAAATAAAAAGAGTTTGAAACTGTTTAGGAGAGAATATTTGATAATTATTAATATCCTAATTATACTCCATATAAAAGGCACGAAATACTAATAGTATGAGAGAGAAAAATATGTAAAACAAAATTAAATTAAACACAAAAATTAAATGTTTGTTATGTATGTAATTTAAAAACTTAGTTTGTAATTAAATATAAATATATTGATATTTTGTTAATAAAAGTCTTAAGTAGTATATTTTTGTAATTTTCACTGGTTGAAATGAAAAATATTATTAAAGTATTATGCGATAGAAGGATAACTACTAAAGTAAAAGATAAGTTGTAATAAATAATTATAGCTTGATTATGTTATAAGCTAGTGAATGTTGAACTGCTATAGTCCACCATATCCACAAGATGAATATCGTGAATATGTGAATGCTTTGATGAATGTGTAATCAACTAATCATACCAAAAAATATAAGATTAAAAATAACCATGTTTGTCAGAAGGTGCAAGTAACACATATTGAGAATGTAATGTGAAGTGGGCGCTTGAGATGATTTGAACATGTTTTGTGTTAACTTATAGATGCATCAGTTTGTAAGTGTGAAACTATGGTAAGTAAATGCGTTAAAAGAGGATGAGACATACCTAAAATTATATGAAAGAAAGTCTTCTCCAAAAGACATCCAAATGCTTGACAATCAATATAGACTTAGCTAAAAATATAACACAATAAAAGAAAAAAAATATCCATATAAATAATAACTACTAGTTGAAGACAGTCTTAAACTCGAATGAAACTTTTAATATTATTTCTATTATTTATATATGTTTTATACTTTTATTATTATCAGCAAAAACTCCACCGAACACTTTCAAAAATATTCATGACCTTTCAAAAACTTGACGAAACAAACTATAATTTCAGTATAAGGAAATGTAACACTGATGGGACCCTTTAACAAGAATAAAGAAATATTCCAACAAAAAGTCTGATTTATCAATCACTATGCAATTTCTATTTGCCCTACGTAATCAATTACGTACATATATAATAAATACATCATACATGAATATGCATGAGATTCATTATATTATAAAGTACCAATAATACAATATCACCAAAAAATACTAGCTATAAATAGACTATCATCATACTTACTATAACCATCAAAAATAAAATCTATAGTCATTAATGGAAGCCAAGAAAAACAACATTAGTGTACTTATGTTACCATGGCTAGCTCATGGTCACATAAGTCCATTTCTAGAGCTAGCAAAAAAACTCACAAATAGAAATTTTCACATTTACATGTGTTCCACTCCAATAAACCTAAGTTCCATCAAAGAAAAATGTCAACAAAAAAAATATTGTGAATCAATAGAATTAGTTGAGCTTCATCTTCCATCTTTACCAAATCTTCCTCCTCATTACCATACCACCAATGGTCTCCCACCTCATCTCATGAACACACTCAAAACAGCTTTCGAAAATGCCTCTCCAAATTTTTCCAAAATATTACAAACTCTTAATCCAGACTTAGTCATTTATGACTATAATCAGCCATGGGCTGCTGACTCTGCTTCCTCTGTTAGCATTCCTGCTGTGCAGTTCCTCACTTTTGGCGCGGCTGTTGTTTCTTTAGCCATCCATATGTCTGAAGATACGGAGGATAAGTTCCCGTTTCCAGAAATTTACCTGCATGAGTACGAAATGCTTTCATTGAAGGAAGCTGTTAAAGAAGCACCGGGTAATAAGTACTCATTTGATGAGGCTATTAAGCTATCGCGTGACATTATTCTGGTGAAAACTTGTAGAGATTTTGAAGGGAAATATATAGATTATCTTTCAAATTTGGTTTCCAAGAAAATAGTCCCCGTTGGTTCACTAGTTCAAGAATCCATTGCGCGAGATGATCATGATGAGGAGATCATGCAATGGCTTGATAAGAAAGAGAAATGTTCAACTGTGTTTGTTTCATTTGGGAGCGAGTATTTTCTATCCAAGGAAGACATATTTGCAGTAGCTCGAGGGCTAGAACGTAGCAAAGTGAACTTCATTTGGGTTATCAGGTTTCCACAAGGTGAAAGAATAAGCATTCAAGATGCATTACCAGAAGGGTATCTTGAAAGGGTGGGAGAAAGAGGAATGGTTATCGAAGGATGGGCTCCTCAAGCAACGATTCTTCAACATCCATCGATAGGTGGATTCGTGAGTCACTGTGGATGGAGTTCATTCATGGAAAGTATGAAGTTTGGTGTGCCTATAATTGCCATGCCAATGCACATTGATCAACCAATGAATGCTAGGATTGTGGAGTATATTAGGATGGGAGTGGAAGCAGCGAGGGACGAGGATGGTAAACTACAGAGCGAAGAGATTGCAAACACGATAAGGAAGGTGTTAGTTGAGGAAAGTGGGGAGGGATGTGAGGAACAAAGCTAAGGAACTAAGTGAGAAGATGAACGCGAAAGGGGATGAAGAGATGGATGGAGTGGTGGAAGAGTTGGTGGCTCTTTGTAGCAACAAATAATTAAGATTTAAGTTATATCTATCTAATAAGTTAATTTCCTATGCTTGAGAGAGTTTAATATTTTTTGTGATGGTAACATGTGATTGAGCTAGAGTCGGAGGAACAAGAGGATGACTGTGTTTCTCTTCGAATGAAATGACAGAAAACTTTCCATTTGATTGACGACTTGTGAGTTGTGACCATATGAGCTAAACAATCCGTCCTAGTTATTTTTAATCGTCTCATCTTACTTTCCTTTTCCTCTATAACCTTTTTCTATAACACATAGTAATTTTTTTTGCTCATATATGTCTTTCTCAGCATAAGAAAATATCCACTTGATTCTAAATAACAAGTCTTTGATTCTAAAAAATCAAAAATGGATAAAGAAGAACCTGCAAATGTGAAGCTCCGCGTCTTGCTCTCTATTTCCCCCTCTTTGTGTGCTATTTCCTGTTGATATTTTATCTAACAATGATTTTCAGTATCTTGATTTCCATTGTTGCCAAACTTTTGAGTCAAAATGATCTTTGGTGATAAGAGGGAAGAAAGTTGAGGTTACTGGAAATTACCAAAATCTAGAAAGAAAAAAAAAGTAATCAATATTTTGAGTGGAACAAAACAAAATAGGCAATGTAACATCGAAAATAAGAAAAATTATCTACTACAACAGATAAATACAATCTAGTGGTATAAAGATTATTTACCGTGACAGTGCATATAACTTAAACTCTTGAGTTGAAGTGACTGTCCATATCAATCAGTCCAACACAATATTCAACAGTCAATATAAGGCTGCTGGTACAAATCTAAACACCTTTTTTCTTTGTTATCAAATCACTAGGAAGCTTCTATATAAGATAGGGAAGCAACCTCAACACAACATTATAAGGTACAAATTCTGTAGATTTCTCGATATATAGAGTTTGAACCAAAACTACTGAATTCTGTCGAATTCGTATTTTCTATACTAGACTAGATTCATCCCTATGGAGGCAAAGAAGCACACCATTAGTGTACTTATGTTACCTTGGCTAGCTCATGGTCACATAAATCCATTTCTAGAGTTAGCGAAAAAGCTTGCAAGTCTTTGATTCTAAAAAATCGAAAATGGATAAAGAAGAACCTGAAAATGTGAAGCTCCGCGTCTTGCTCTCTATTTCCCCCTCTTTGTGTGCTCTTTCCTGTCGATTTTTTATCTAACAATGATTTTCAGTATCTTGATTTCCATTGTTGCCAAACTTTTGAGTCAAAATGCTCTTTGGCGCGAAGAGGGAAGAAAGTTGAGGTTACTGGAAATTCCAAAATCTGAAAGAAAAAAAAAGTAATCAATATTTTGAGTGGAACAAAACAAAATAGGCAATGTAACATCGAAAATAAGATAAATTATCTACTACAACAGATAAATACAATCTAATGGTAAATCTGAACTCCATCAAGAAAAGAGTCAGTGAGAAGTATTCTCAGTCAATAGAATTAATCGAGCTTCATCTTCCGTCTTTACCAGATCTTCCTCCTCATTACCACACCACAAATGGCCTCCCACCTCATCTCATGAACACCCTCAAAACAGCTTTTGAACTCGCCTCTCCGAATTTTTCCAAAATATTACAAACTCTGCATCCGGATTTGGTCATTCATGACTACAATCAGCCATGGGTTACTGATTCGGCTTCCTCTATGAACATTCCTGCTGTGCAGTTCCCTACTTTTAGTGCAACTGTTGTTGCTTTGGCCATCCACATGTCTGAAAACACAGAGGAGAAGTTCCCGTTTCCTGAAATTTACCTGCGGGAACACGAAATGATTTCACTGAAAAAAGATATTGATGAAGTACCAAGTAAGAAGTTCCCATACGACGAGGCTATTAGTCGATCACATGACATTATTCTAGTGAAAACTTGCAGAGATTTTGAAGGGAAATATATAGATTATCTTTCAAATTTGACTTCCAAGAAAATTGTCCCTGTTGGTTCGCTAGTTCAAGAATCCATGGATCAAGATGATTATGAGGAAATCGCGCAATGGCTTGACAAGAAAGAGAAAAGTTCAACTGTGTTCGTTTCATTTGGGAGCGAGTATTTTCTATCCAAGGAGGAAATACTTGCAGTAGCTCAAGGGCTAGAGCTTAGCAAAGTGAACTTCATTTGGGTCATCAGGTTTCCACAAGGTGAAAGACTTAACATTCGAGATGCATTACCGGAAGGGTATCTTGAAAGGGTAGGAGAAAGAGGAATGATTATGGAAGGATGGGCTCCACAAGCATTGATTCTTCAACATCCATCGATAGGTGGATTCGTGAGTCACTGTGGATGGAGTTCATTCATGGAAAGTATGAAGTTTGGTGTGCCTATAATTGCCATGCCAATGCACATTGATCAACCAATGAATGCTAGGCTTGTGGAATATATCGGTGTGGGAGTGGAAGCAGCGAAGGACGAGGATGGGAAGTTACAAAGCGAAGAGATTGCAAAGGCAATAAGGGAAGTGTTAGTGGAGGAAAGCGGGGAGGCTGTGAGGAAGAAAGCTAAGGAACTGAGTGAAAAGATGAACGCGAAAGAGGATGAAGAGATAGATGGCGTGGCGGAAGAACTGATGGCACTTTGTAGCAGCAAATGATTAGCAATAAGAGTAAATGTCAGTCTAGTGTAACTCAACTGTTACAGTAAGTTGGGAGTACTAATCATCTTATTACCAATAATCACTACAAGTAATAACCTTTAAAATGATTCAGCAGAATGTAAGTTGTATCCAAGAAAAACATGCATTAAGACGTAATTCCGAGCCAGCATTATGCTTGAATCAGAACAGACTGTTAACATCACACGACACACATTCCACAGAGAAATACGCGCAATTTCGTGCATTAAGACATGATGTCAAACAAAGGGAAACTAGTGAAGATGCAAAACCAAACCATTAAGTAATAAAAATCAACAAGCAAACTCATTTTCAAAGCATTTAGGACAGGGGAATTACTGTCTTGAAAACTCTAGCAGAGGTGTACATAACAGAAAAAAACTCAGTGAAGCATTACATCAAACACCTTGTTGGCATAAAGAATACATTACAAAACCAATCAATTTGCATAATACATATATATACTTTTTTAATTGGGCTTCAGGTGACATTTATGCGATTCAACTTTGGGTGTGTACAACCAAACACTTAAACTTATATAAAGTTGAACAAATAGGTACACACGTCCTACATGATAAACTTATATAAAGTTGAACAAATAGATACACACGTCCTACATGGAAATTTGTGTCATACGTGGTGTTCTATGTGTATTAAATGTCGCATCCACTCATGTGTCTACTTGCTAAACTTTATAGAAGTTTAATTATCTACTTGTGCACACCCAAAGTTGGAGGACGTAAATATGAAATGAAGCCAAGTTAAATGGCACATTCGTGTATTATATCCAAAATAAAATCACGTTATGCAAAATTTGGAATTTCCCCGTTATGGCCTAAAATTTGGCATGAAAAGCCCATATTATAATTTTTTGGTATCTAATAGCTCAAATACATTTTTTGAGAAACTTGCTGAAATTCCACTAGTTTAGAAGTTAATTAGTTAGATACGTTTTAGTTTACAATATTACAAATTTTACCAAATTTTGTTGCTTCTTAGATATTTTTATATACATGTATCTCGGAATACACCGGGTCAAAATTAAGTGTAATTTGTTTTGGATCTATATCAAGTGGATTCACATTTATTTGGAATATATAGACAAATCTCTCTTGCCTCTATCGTTCCCCTTCCATCTCGCTCGCCACTCTCCTATGTAGTTGGTATCCCATATACATGCGAATCACACCAGATATATACATATACATGCATCTAGTGTGATTCACATGTATCTATGATACATGACTATCTCCCTCCCCATCTCGCTAGCCGCTCTCACTGTTTTAGTATATCTGATAGCAAAAATATATGTATCTAAGTGTATCTTCTTTAATATAAGATATGCAATTCTTAATTAGTGGTAATATACGTAATTATTTGAAAGTATATATAAAATTAGTATATATGATATGAATTATGTTTAATAAGATAATTCTCCCTTTTTTTAAGAGGGGAGGTAGGTGGGGAGATTTTGTGATGGCAATATAATGCGGACTAATATTTGACATAAAACAGCCCACATTTTATTTTCTGGTCTCTAATAGCTCAAATATTTTATGAAATTGTTACAAGTAAAAAATTCATTCAAGACCTAATAATTTTTGTTACTGTGTATTAAAGTTTGTCTATTCTCATGCTCATAATTTAATTATATATAAATGATCATTCTTTTTTCTTATTTGCTTTATTCACTACTAGTATGTTCGAATATGTTAGTAAAATCAATAATACTCCAAATTTTGGGATTTATTTCGGCTGTTATTTCAATAAGTCTGCGATACATATACTAAACTAGCTATTAAATTTATTCTAATATTCAAAACATTGAAATTAATTAAAGTTATAACTATTAAATCTCTTACTTATTTATAATATATAAGAACTTCTAATATATATTTAGTACTTTAAAATTAAATAAAATGAATAGTAGGTGATAATTACTATCCTTATTCATGTCCTTCACAACTTTCTAACTAAAATCATGACTTGATAAGTACTTTTGAAAACATAAAAAATAATTTAAGACGACGAAAGTATATTATACATATCCATTTGTATATATGGCAAGTGAAATTGGGAGAGGGAGGAGAGAGGCAAGCGAGATTGAGAGAGGGAGGAGAGAGGCAAGTGAGAGAGGGCAAAGAGTGGGAGAGAGGTTAATTGTTTATGTATATCGATTAGATAATTGTATATACATATGTATTTGCATATTCTGGCGAATTATACATATACAAACGTGGCTAATTGTACAAACTCGAACTCAGCCCACGTAATTAATGTATAATGTTAGTCGCGAGTGATAATTATAGCTTTTATTATTAATTGATAAGTATTTTTGAAAACATAACAAATAATTTAAGACGACGTAAGTACTAAATTAAAATAAAGAAAATAGCTTTTATTATTAATTATTAGGCGGACGGCTGGCTCTAGAGGTAGTGTTAGAAACTTATTCGTTTGATTTGAGAATAATTTCGGCAAAAGAAAATGTAATATAACTTTAATATGAGTGAGTTAGGCAGGAATAAAAATATTATTTTTTCGAAAAATAAGTTAACTTTATTTTATTTTTTTGTTGTTTAATATATATATTTAGAAAATATATGTATATAATTTAGATAAATATTATAGAAGTTGGAAGTCAAGGTAGGAGTGGGGATGGGATTGGCTAATATATTGAATGTCGTAGAACTTGTTTTTTTTTTAAGGAAAATATTTTTCCAAAAATAACTCGAAATCCTTTTTTTCGATATTATACCATACCTAATTACGTAGGAGATTGGACTTTCTCACCCTCTAGTGGGGGGGGGGGGAATCAGAGTTAATTTAAATATTGATGTGGCATATTAATAATGTCAATAAATATAGTTTTCTTTTATTTCAATCCTCTTAATTTTTTCCAATTAAATAGTTATTAATTAATTAATCTTTTATCCTATCAGCCGCTCAAAGCATAAAATTCCTAGTAATGTACATTTTCTTCTAGAAAGAGCAGAAAAGAACACAAATAAAAGTTGAAAACTCTAAGAATTTTGAGGTATTATAAATGTACATATATCTTGTGGTTTTTACTGTTTATCGATTGAAAAAAGGACAAAAGAATAAACGGACTTGATATATATAAATTATGTTCGTTGAAAAATTATGTTGTATATATATGTTAAATTCTACATTTAAAGTATATATATATTTAAAGTCGGACACCTTTGACAGAAGTTATGTCTTTGATGTAGTGGTAATATGTGTTCAATTGAATGATCATGAATTAATTAATTAATAGATATAGTTATGTAGCCATTATTGTCCTAACTCCTATTTTTGTTAGGAAAGGATATTTTAATTAAATTGAACATCATCTTAAAATGATATATTCAAAATATATATATAGGTAATATTTGAGAATAGAAAAAAGTATGATTATTATTACTATCCACTATTATTGTGATTCATTATAAAATTTGAACAAAATTTTGAGTTAGTCACTGATAATCACCTACTTAGGCTCAACATAACCAACCCCTTCAAATAAAAAATGAAATTATATTTTGAATAATTAATTTTAAACTTATTTTTTAATATATTTAAACTTTATGCGAAATCAAACTCGCATACATTAATTAAAAAAATTATGATGGGCCAAACTAGAACTCGTAAAATAGTTTACAAACAATTTTTTTAAAAGTAAAAGCCTGATTTTCATATTTAATTTATTGGGTGTTTCTATTACTTTCTTGATTTGTACTTCTATTTAAATTGAATACATAACAAAATATTTTTAATAATTTATTGGAAGCGGTGAGAAATTAAAAAAAAAGTCATAAGAATGAATCCACCTGACAAATGAGGTCGTAGTAGTTCGGGGTTGGGGGTTGGATGTTGGGTGTCGTGGTGCATATGCGAATACTTGATACTTCGTAAAATGATGATAGTTGGGAGTTTTTAAAACATATTCACTAGAAAAAATTTGAGCACAGTAATCACATAGCATGTTATATCAGTATCAAATTATATGATATAGTTCAAGAAAATATCTAATTAATTACCTACAAAAGTCACACAACAAGTCACTTTCATAAAACTTGCCTAAATTTTGTATTTAAAAATTTCAAACCAATTACAATCACACAACAGGTCACTTTGCATAAAATTTGGCTAGAAATCTATAAAATAAAATAAAAAACTCAACAACCAATCACATTAAACAAGAGGCGTGATGAAATGATAATATTCTTTCATCCTTAATAAGGGATTTCCGATTTAAGCTCTATTACAGGTGTCACCTTTATTAGGTAGAGTTTTAACTATTACATTATGTCTTCAACTCTCTTGTATTTTCAATAAAGGGAAAAAGACAAATGTAACCCCGAACTATCGTAAATGGTATGCAGATACCCTCCGTCATACTTTTGGGATATAGGTGCCCTTGCCGTCCAAAAAATAAAGCATATATACCCTTTATACTAACGGAAAATTGCAGCACGTGTCCCTATTTAGTCTTCCGTTAGAGTGAAGAGTATATATGCTCTACTTTTTGAACGGCAGAAGCACCAATATCCCAAAAGTATGATGGAGGGTATCTACATACCATTTACGATAGTTCTGGGTATATTTGTCCTTTGTCCATTCAATATAAATAAGGTAGCCAATGACACCAAACTCCACAAACAAGAACTTGATCATGGGATCACAAGTAACAGAGCATGGTACTAGTAATTTGAGCGTAGTGATGTTCCCATGGTTAGCTTATGGACACATGATTCGATTCAGCTTATCGAACTTCACTTACCAGAATTACCCGAACTTCCTCCTCATTACCATACGACTAATGGTCTCCCGCCCCATCTCAATCACACCCTTAAAAAGGCCCTGAAAATGTCCAAACCAAACTTTTCAAAAATCTTGCAAAATCTGAAACCTGATTTGGTGATTTATGACATAATGCAGCAATGGGCTGAACGTGTCGCGAATGAACAGAACATTCCAGCAGTGAGGCTACTAACTTTTGGTGTGGCTGTGTTATCATATTTTTTTAACTTAGTAAAGAAACCAGGGGTTGAATTCCCTTTCCCTGCTATTTATCTCAGCAAAATTGAACAAGTAAAATTGGGTGAAATGATGGCCAGATCTGCTAAAGATCAAGAACCTGATGACGATGATCAAACAGCTGATGGAACTACACAGATCGCGTTGATGTGTACCTCTAGAATTATAGAGGCCAAATACATAGATTTTTTGTCTGAATTAAGCAATTGGAAAGTTGTTCCAGTTGGTCCACCAGTCCAAGATTTGATCACTAATGACGCGGACGACAAGGAGCTCATGGATTGGCTAGGAACAAAAGATGAGAATTCAACTGTATTTGTCTCCTTTGGGAGTGAGTATTTCTTGTCAAAAGAAGATATGGAAGAAGTAGCTTTCGGGTTGGAGTTAAGTAATGTTGATTTCATATGGGTCGCAAGATTTCCAAAAGGGGAAGAGCAAAATCTCGAAGATGCTTTACCAAAAGGTTTTCTTGAAAGAATTGGAGAAAGGGGAAGAGTTTTGGACAAATTCGCACCACAACTAAGAATTCTAAATCATACGAGTACGGGAGGATTTATAAGTCATTGTGGTTGGAATTCAGTAATGGAAAGTATAGATTTCGGGGTCCCTATAATTGCCATGCCTATGCATCTTGATCAACCAATGAATGCTAGGTTGATCGTAGAATTGGGAGTTGCGGTGGAGATTGTTAGAGATGATGATGGAAAAATTCATAGAGGAGAAATCGCGGAAACTCTTAAAGATGTCATAACAAAGAAAACGGGGGGAAATTTAAGGGCCAAAATGAGAGATATTAGCAAGAATTTGAATTCTATAAGAGGTGAAGAGATGGATGCTGCTGCTCAAGAGCTAATCCAATTTTGTAAGATTAGTACTAATTAACATAATTATATTGTATGTGAGTTCTTTCATGTTCTTGTTGATGGTCAAAATACATTAAGATTGAAATAATGAGAAGAAAAAAAAAAGGTTGTAACCTATATATTGATCTTACAATTCAACATTTTCAAACTATGACTTTGTTTAGCTTTCAATTCCAATTCTCAATAGTAACAACTAATAAGTATAGCCAAATGTCGACTCAAACCAACTCACATGTGGCACCAAAACTATATATTACTTGATTAAATTTAGCATTTGAAACTTATCTAAAACATGCTATGATAATATTCCTAAGATGATCACCTATGAGGACAACTTTCTCTTAATGAATTTTCTTCCATGGAAGAGGCCAGAGATGTTGTTTTTGAGATTGACCCTACTAGTGCAGGAGGTCCTGATGGATTTAATGCTAACTTTTTCCAGCTCAACTGGGACATCACTGGCCATGATATTTATCAGATGATCCTGGAGGTTCTAAATGGTGAAGAGCTTAGTAAATTCATATCTCATACATGTCTCATGCTGATTTTCTAAGGTTGATAATCCACAATCCTTTCTTATATGAGGCCTATCAGTCTCAACAATGTCACTCATAAGATAATTACCAAGATCCTCAATAATAGACTTGCAAAACTTCTTCCTAAGATCATTTCTCCTAATCAAAGTGGTTTCATCAAAGGTAGGAGATAATGTTCTTCTTGCTCAAGAAATTATCAGTTGTATTAGGAAGAAGAGTTCTGGGGATAATGTTGTTATCAAGTTAGATATGAACAAGGCTTACGATAGGCTTTCCTGGACTTTCTCAGAACAATGGATCTACAGTACCATATAGAATCTTATTTCTAATATATAGTATTCTATCATTATCAATGGTAAAAGAATAGGTTTTTTCAAATCAGAGAGAGGCTTAAAGCAAGGTGACTCTATCTCTTCTTCTTTGTTCATTATTGCTGTTGAGGCTATTTCTAGAGCTCTAAATCTCCTCTAGGATAATCATGAGTTTTCTGTATTTTCTATGCATAAGAAAGGCCAACAGATAAACTATTTGGCTTGATGTTGGGTTCGAAAGTGATTAGGGCTTCATGTGGAAGCTTACAATTGCATATCATATGGTTGATAAATCAGATAGACAAAAACTTATACTAAAAACATAATATTATTATATAGTTTAGCCAATCGGCATACATATAGAAAAACTAAATAAAAAGAAAATAATTAAACTGTTGAGGGAAATCTCTCCATAAACAAACTCTTCATTGACTATATTGTGGATGTTTTTTGTGTTCTGCAATGAGAATAAGGATTTTCAATTTAAAGATCTCCAAACTTTTCCTCCCTCTAAGGAAAGAATAAACCAAATATGGAAGAAAATTATATTTTCCTTTCATGAAAAGTTAAGCATTTATGATAATACTTTTTCTTTTTTTTTAAGATTAGACAGCTTGTTACATTGGGTTTTTTTAAAAAAAAAAAAAACTAAAGGCCAAAGGGCCAGATTTTATTAATCAAAATAAAAGCAAAGTACATCAAATGATCAGGCCCAATCAATATTTCTCTGGAATGATCACCAAAATTATCAGGACAATTACAATGGTGCTGAGTCTTTGGCTCTGCTTATTGGAATGAAATGGTGAAAGGAAAATGGTATCAACATGATCATTGTTTACTTAGATTCCTTATTGGTTATCAGTTGGGTTACATGCAAGATGAAACCACCTAGGAATTTAAGATACAAATATTTATACTACACAAAATATTTTTGTGTGAATATAAACTTTTTTCAACCGTTGTAACAGCCCGGTGTATAGGGTCATGAGGTAATAAGTTGATACACTCGGTCAAGTTAAAGCATCGATGACACCGTTCGTTTTCTATATGTAATAAAAAACTTTTTAATAAAATGGAGTAGCAAAACCAAGTGGACCAACACCTATTAATATTTATTTTTTGGACTTCAGCTATAAAAAGGAGATCTAAATGTTGAGAAAGCTTTTTCAGCTATAGTTGATTAAGATCCATCTATGCATGATGAGATTTAATTGAGTGTATAGAATAAGTAGGCATATTTAATCATATCTATATTATTTTTTAAAACATGAATGTTCCTAGAAATATGTTGATTGAACTTTTTATCCATTATTAAATGACGCTACAATAAATGAAATTGTCATTTACTATTTTACTCAAATATTTTCATTTAATTAATATTCTAATACTTAGGACTTTGAAATCAATTAAAATTATATTTATTAAATCTTTACTTTTGATTTTTCTAATGTCGTCAAGATGCAAGCGCAATGGAATTTAATTTTGTTTGTCGTTTTTTTTTTCTCTCTCTTTATGAGGTTAAGGTTCGAGTGGAAAGAGATGGATAATAATTGTAAGACAACGTCTACTACTTTATTTCTCTTTATTCGTCGTATTTCTTAAGAAATATTAATTAAAAGAGTTTTTACAATTATTTCACTCTTGTTTATGTATTTCATATTTGAATTTTTCTAATGTCGTCAAGATGCAAGTCCAATGAAGTTTAATTCTTGTTTTTTTTCATTTTGTTTCCTTTTTCTCTGTATGAGGTGACAATTCGAGTAGAAAAAGATGGATAAGAATTGTAAAACAACTTCTACTACTCTATCTGTCAAAGTCATTCATCGTGTTTCTTTTTTACACGTCTAACGATCCCGTTTTGTCGTCATCTCTTTTGTATTTTCAATAAATAAGGTTGTCAGTGACACCAAACTCCACAAACAAGAACTTGATCATGGGAACACAAGTTACTACTACTTTGAGGTTACTTATGTTCCCATGGTTAGCTTATGGACACATTTCTCCATTTCTAAACGTAGCTAAGAAACTCGCGGACAGGGGATTCTTGATTTACCTCTGTTCTACGCCGATTAATCTCAAATCCACCATTAAGAAAATCCCTGAAAAGTATGCTGATTCGATTCAGCTTATCGAACTTCACTTACCAGAATTACCCGAACTTCCTCCTCATTACCATACGACCAATGGTCTCCCGCCCCATCTCAATCACACCCTTAAAAAGGCCCTGAAAATGTCCAAACCAAACTTTTCAAAAATCTTGGAAAATCTGAAACCTGATTTGGTGATTTATGACATAATGCAGCAATGGGCTGAACGTGTCGCGAATGAACAGAACATTCCAGCAGTGAGGCTACTAACTTTCAGTGCAGCTGTGACTTCGTATTTTGTCAACTTAGTAAAGAAACCAGGAGTTGAATTCCCTTTCCCTGATATTTATCTCAGGAAAATTGAACAAGTAAAATTGGGTGAAATGTTGGATAAATCTGCTAAAGATCAAGAACCCGATGATGAAGAACGTTTAGTGGATGGATATATACAAATCGCGCTTATATGTACCTCTAGAACTATAGAGGCTAAATACATAGATTTTCTCTCTGAAGTGAGCAATATGAAAATTGTTCCAGTTGGTCCACCAGT